CCAATTAATACGTACCTTTTATCTCTCTATAAATATAGTTTTTTTTTGCCTAAATTTTTGCGGCATATTCTTTCTGTTTAAGTTTTTCAGCACATTCAATTTTCAATAATTTCTATACATAATTTTTTTTAGTGCTTATGGACCGATCGATAGGTTACACACCTCACCTAACAATCTACATCTGAGTGCATTAGCTGTGATCTGAAGCAAGTGCTAGTCTAAGACACAACATATAAATACAGAATTAGTAAAATGCACATTTTTATTTTTATTTATTTATTTATTATCTTGGCGTGATTGCAAAAATAATTGCTAAATTCACCAATCAGTATACGTACAAATTAATTATCTAGCATTAATTGGTAAATTTGAAGGCGAAAAATGCCAAAGGTATTGTCAATAACCTACTTAAATTTATTCGATATGTTAAAAAAATTATGATTAAAAGCACTCATTAGTGGTAGTAAGCCAGAAAGTTTTAAATTTGAATTTTGATTTTCCGAAATTTTTAATGAAAATAATAATAATTTATATATTGCCATGTTGGAATTAAATTTATCGTTAAGCCAACTTAAAATAAGTTTGTATAACATAGTAACATAAGTTCTTATCAGATTTATTTTTTCATGATCATTAAATGTCTTTTGATTATTAAATCGTATACAACCCTCAAAGTTATCCGCCTTCTACCATTTGTTTGCTATCTAACTATATTGACCAATAAATTGTACCAAATCCTCAAATGAAATCAATCATTTTCATATGCCGTGGATGTAGCATAGTTAAAATCCTATGATTGGCTGAATAATTATAAATGTGAATAACATAAATAACATAAAAAGTTATCCAATCTGATCTCGAATTTAAAATTTGTTTTTGTGAAATCCGGATTCGGAAATTGGATTGGACAATTTTTTATATTGTTTAGAGTTTCAATCCGGATAAATCTGTCATCCATTTATCTATATCTGAATTTATCCGAATATCCGTTTGCTATTGATATCCGGATAATCCGACAAATATTCGGATAAATTATTTGGATATCAATAGTTAAAGGATATCCGGATAAATTCAGATCGGATACTTGGATAACAGATTATGGATATATGGATAAACGATTAATGGATTGGAACTCTAATATTGTTTATATTAGTTTAATTTTAGCTTAAAAAAAGCGAACCGTATAGTATAATCTTTTATTTTAGCTACAATACACTATATACAGTACAACTTAAATTACGACACGGTATATTATTATTATGATGCTGCCACAGCTATGAATTGTGTCAATACCACGAAAAAGTTGCAACTTGCTACAATGAGTCGGCACTAATTACCTAAATCATAAAAAAATCGCCAGAATACTGGGCATAATCCGCATAACAGATTGTAACAACCTTTTGTTACACTACAGTTAAGGTACAAAATTAAACTTTCCTTGATATGCAATTAAATTCGTCATATTACACAAATTTAACTTTGATCAAGATTGATATATAGTGAGCTGGTAATTGAATTTTTAGATAGTATGAAAATCACCTAAATCCAATTGCATGCTTATCAAAGTTAAAAATTGATAACGAGTTGAATTTGATTCGAGAAGCAGGGGCACCGATAAGTAATGAAAGGTACTATGTAATCATTAGTATGTATTATAAATTTATTATGTAATCCAAACGTTACTGCATGATAATATATATTAAGCGGGATATTAGCATTAATATAAAATTATGTAATCGAATTGTTAGTTATTTGAATCTTGTACAAACTATTTCGGGAATCTATGCCATAAGAAAGAGAATAGCGAAAATATGACAAAAACCAGCTTTTGAGCACTAAAAAAAAATGGCATGAACATAAGTAATTTTGTGAATAACAGAAATGTCATGAACGCAATTTTATGAATAACAATGATATTCAAAAGTTACAAAAACGAACCTTAGCATAACCTTAATATAAAGTCAAGTTTATTTGGATGTGCCACACAGAACCATGGTAGAGATATAAAGTACGTCCATCAATAGGCATTCAGATCAATGGTAGAGGTGTAAAGTACGTCACATTTGTGCACGTATTAAAATACAGTAGGATGCGTAGGAAATGCACATTTTGCCATAAAAGGGATTGCTACCATAAAATACTATAGGGCAAGTCTATGCAAATACGTATTAATGTTTTGATAAATTTAATAAAGGTAATCCGAAAAAAATAAATCTCAAACTTCCCAGTAAACATTAGTGATGCGGTAGAATCGTCACATTGCCGTAATTTGCCGTAATTATAGTAAGTCGTATAGTAAGTTACGGCATCATAGCCATAATTTACTATATTACTTTGCTATAGTTACGGCAAGATATGGCAATGTGACGCAATGTGACGATTATCATTGGGACGATTCTAGTAAACATATATAAACTATAAACTTAAAAAGTGACATTGTTTATCTTTTGCATAACAATCCCTTTATTTTTTTAATAGATACAGATAAAAATATATACAGTATTCATATATATATATATATATATATATATATATATATATATTGATATTGTATGTATTTGTATCTATTACTCTCCTAAACCATTATTAATGACTTCTATCACTCCATTAACAGAGGAAGAATTCTCCACTGTATCTGACTTATGTGTTCCTTTAAATATCATTTCTCTCATTTCTTCAACTATTTCATGCATAACATTTGGCTTCATACGAGTATATTATCCTAAACACGCAGATCGAGTTTCATTTCGTTTAAGTTTTGCGGCCTTATTCTGTGATATAGGCTATTCTGGTCATCTTATAATTATTCTTATTTGGAATAGTACTCCCGGGGTCTTCTGTAGATACATGGTAAGATATGCATTAACTTTCTTTTCGATATTCAGTACTTCTTTTTTGATATATATATATACAGAATATATAAATATATTTGTATTAATTTTCTTCGAATCTTTTTATATATAAGGTTTGGGCATTGGTATTTTTCCCTCTTACTTCTATGTTTTTAATCGTTTGTATAGCTTTGGTTTGTATTATAATTATATTTTTTCATGTTTACATATAGATATTTCACTTACTTTTTTCTTTTATTTTAGAACCTTCATATAATATTTATAAACGAATATAGCAGATATAATTTTGAAAAATATTATTTTAGAATTGCATTTTCTCTTGCCTTTTTACTCTCTCTCCTTCCTTTTACCGCAAATATGTATGGTTATGATGATCCTGAAGGGTATGATATACAGTATTATTATAATGTATAGATAAGTTCACTACAGAGTAATCTTAAATTATCTGAGTTAAAGATAATATCGGTAGTTTAATTACCATTTACGCTTTTAACTAAAGTTTGTAAATTTTATTTTGACTTGGATAATTTAAGATAGAGCAGATACTTTTCTGTAAGAAGTGTATATGTATATTCAGTATATTTATTATGTCTCATATTTATTTCTTTATTGTCAAATTTATAACATATTTTATTTCATACATTCATATTTATTAATATTTATTAATATTTATTAATATTTATTAATATTTATTACAGTGTCTGTTGGTATCGTGATTCGGGTGAAAGACATAATATAATATGGCAATGGGTTACTTTTTTCGGTTGGGCAGATTTATCTATATTATACTGTGCAGCTGTTGTTATTATGGTCATTAAAAAACTCAGATTTGTGACCAAGAGTTTTGATGCTTTGGGCGATTCTTCGACATCACAGTTTTCTGGTCACCCTACCTTAATTAATAAGTCTGTGATTTTTTCGGTTGTCAGAAGGGTCGTGTGGTATCCTGTGGTGCCATTGGTAGCTCAATTTTTTAGCTCTTTCGTTGAAACTTACGCTTATATTAATCGTGTTGTCTCTTATCCTCTTTTTTTACTTTGCTTCGTTGGCATGTCAATTCAAGGTGTATATATAAGTCATGTTCTTTTTCTTACTATTTGATTATTCTTTGAATATTTTGTTTATCTAATCGTTCACTTCTTAGGATTATTGAATGCTTTGGTCTTTTCCCAAGACATTGCCGTTACTCGTGCTTTCCAAGATGTTAAACGGCACTGGTGGATCACCATTGTTAACTCTTATGAATATTATTATCCTCATCGATCTCACAACAAATCCATTATGGATGATTTAGGAAAAGGCAATGATATTATTGAATTGCAAACTCTAAATTACAAAAATCCAGATATCGCTAAAAGTGATATTATCGATGACGATGCTATTAACAAAAATATTACTAATAATCATAATAATAATGACGATAATAACAATTTTGTTTCACAACCTTCTTTTTTAGGATGGTTAAGATACATGCTATTGATTAAACTTTTCTCTCCTCCAAAAAGTTCATCGCAATGCATTTCACTTGAATTTATAACACCGGTCAGTTCTTTTAATGGCAATGAGCCTAATACCTCTTCTCTGGTCGAAAAGGATGATTCCAGGCAGGATATTATTCTTAACAACCGAAATGATAATCAAGATATTCATTTGGTTCATCTTGAACCTGTTCATTTAAAAGACCCTTCTGAATATTCATCATTAGATTTATCACCTAATTATTTAAATCAGTCAACTTCATCTGATCCTTTGATAGGCAGTTCTATAAATAATCAAATTAATCAAACTAATGTAAATAACAGAAATAATACAAGAACAATAGATATATCAACCCGTGAAGTTGGTGATGATGAACCATCAAAAAGAGTATCAGAAGGGTTGGCAGAAATATTTAGTTCACCTCAAGAAGTTGAAATGCTTAAACAGATATTAAAAAAGTTATAATTTTTTTTATTAATTTTCTTTTTCCAATTAGCATAAAAAATTGTTTACATAGTAATTTAATATTCTTTATACTGTAATAACTGTTTAAAGATCCATTTGAAAATAAATTAGTAAATAAATATGTATGTATTGTATGTTTTATACGATGAATTGTAAATATTTTTTCATTACGATACGTCAATTGTACAAAAGTAACAGTTTTTAATAAGATATTGTACTGTAAAAATTTTTTTGCCATTTTTAGTAGCAAATTCCATTTCCATATATATCTTCCAAATTTTGATATGTTTTGCTATATACTTATAAATGATGGAACTCAAACTATTTTACGGCATTATTGAAATTTGTAATTGGGATTTGGATGTTTGCCAAATACTAAATATTTTACCGAAATCCCAATTCCAAAATTAAATTTGACATTTGGTTACAACGTGTACCAAAACTACAGATTTGGGTCCATCACTAGTACTCACATATGCATGCATATTTTTTGATGTAATTATAATTTATTACAATATCATGCATAATGATTGGTGCAGTGCGTGTAAGACAACATTTTAAATATATCTTTGAGATACAGTAATTCCAGTTATCTGAAAAAAGATAGAAGATTCGATAAAAGATGTACCAATTACTTGTAAATTAATATGAATTTCAAGAAAATCGTAATTATCGTAGTTACTTCGTGAATTATTCTTAAACACTTATTTAAAATTCATGATATAATCTCTCATAATCTCTGAAAAAAAAAGCTTTAAAAACATCAACCGCATCTAAACTGAATTTCTAAAATAAAAAATTTACCAGATAAGTAATACATTTTTTCGTAAAAAAGTTTTGTGATACCATTTCCGTATACAGAGTGCAATTGAGTTTTGATAACATTAAACTGATTTGTATTTCGTAATTTGTTTTAACGTTACAATGTACAACCAGGAATGGAAATTTAATAAAGATTTTTCTGATTCTCTATTTTGTCCTTATTGGTGTTTTACGCTAAGTGTGTGACGCTATACAAGAATTAAAATCAGAATATGAAAATTGATTTACCGTCACATCCTGCGTAACTGAATGTAATCGTGAATTATTTTTTTTTATCAGAATATAACTCGCGAAGCGGGTATATTCTCATCGAGAAATTTATATGCGGTTTATACGTAATATTTACGTTAGATGTACGTACGTACGTACGTACGTATGTACGTACTTTATATGTACATTATACGCCACATTATGCCATATGACTGCGCCAAGTGATAGAGTCACGTGACTTACAAAGGCCCGAAAATCGATATTTCGCATTAGACATATTAATATTAATATCTATATGGGCTAATTTTGACCGATTTTATGGATAACCCCAGTAGGACCGTGAAAGATCGTCACAGATGCACCAATCAGAACCAATGTTTACATGATGATCATTTCCGATCTGGCTCCGGAGGTCCGTCTTTCGCTTAAAATTTTCACGTAAAATACAAAATTTTAAGAAAGATTTCACCATAACCACCTAACAAATTTGGTTAAATTTTTTTTTTTTGGTTTAATTTTATATAAGTATAATTAAAATAAAAAAATTTTCGTCGAATTTGGTTAATTAGTTATGGGGTTATCTTCGTCCAAAGCGCCAAAAAATTACCGTAACTTGAAATTTATATACTTAAAAAAAATTTTTTTTTTTATTACAGTATATAGTTATTTATTAATTTTATGTTATTACTTTTACATTATTTATTTTACATTATTTATTAGATTTATTAGATTTATTATCATTATACATATATTTTTATTTCAACTATACTATACAATTATATTGAATCCAATGTTGAATCCAACATTGACTTCAACGTTGACTCCAACATTGACTCTAATGTTGACTCCAACGTTGACTCCAATGTTGACTCCAATGTTGACTCCAATGTTGACTCCAATATTGACTCCAATGTTGACTCCAAGGTTGACTCCAATGTTAACTCCAACATTGACTCCAATGTTGACTTCAATGTTGACTTCAATGTTGACTCTAATATTAATCAAAAAATGAGCAAAAGCCCAGAAGAACAACAAAAGAAGCTTCAGAAGAATAATAAAAGAGACTTCAGAAAAACAATGAAAGAGACTTCAGAAGAACAATGAAAAAGTTCTAAAAGAATGACAAGAAAACTCCAAAAAAATGACAAAAAAAATTCCAAAAGAATGACGAAAAATTTTAAAAGAATAACAAAAAAATTTCAAAAAAAAAGCTCCAAAAGATTGACTAGAAAATTCTAAAAGAAAATCCAAAAGAATGATGAGAAAACTCTAAAAGAACATTCAAAAAACAATGAGAAACCTTCAAAAAAAGTTCCAAAAGAACAACGAGAAAACTCCAAAAAAAAAAGCTCCAAAAGAACAATGAGAAAACTTCAATAGAATGATGAAAAATGCACTAAAAGAACAACAAAAAAGCTTCAAAAGAACATTGAAAAAAGCTTCTAAAGAATGAATTAAATAAATAACAAAAAAAGCTCTAGAAAAATAATGACATCAAGAGGTAAACAAATTTAATTAAATCGGCACCAATTTAAGATCAGAATTGATCATCATATAAACATAGAATCTGATTGGTGCATCTACAATAATCTTCCATGGTCTTACTGAAGTAGCTGATTTTATGTAATAATAAATAATAGTATAAAAAATTTGTAGTAATATGATCTCTGAGGAGATCGATACTTCAAATTGGCTCTAAGTTTGTTGCACAAGACTTTACATCTTGCAAAAAATTTATTCATTATAGAACAAATAATTACTATTCTATTTTAAAGACTTTTTGAATCAAAATCTTATGAATAATAATGTTTATTTATATTAAGAAATTTTTAATTATAAAAGATAACTAAAAAGTGAAAATAAATTTCTTAGCAGAAACTTGAATTTTTTTAACAATATAATTATTATATTAAAATAATATAATTTTAATATGAAAATAATATAATTTATAAAATTATATAGTTTTTATATTAATATTATATAAATTTATATTATTATTTGTAAAGTTAAAAGGCATTGTAAAATGCAACGATTTAATATATAAAAATATTGTTATAATATAATTATAATATTATTTTAATATATTAAATTATATAATAATAATATAATTAAATAAATAAAAT